GAAGTTAATTAAAGCACGTTTAGAACAAGCTCATAATTAATAATCTAATTATAACAATAATGCAAATAACCAAAGACAGGACACCAAATCTGAAACTATTCATGGAGTTATCAATAAGGGTGTAAATGATATATTAGTACTCACCAGTTACTCGGATTCGATTCGAAGAAAATTCGAATTCGGTTCAATTATTATCAAGTTATTCGAGTTCGATTAGAAGAAAATTTGAATTCGGTTCAATTATTATCGAGTCAAGTTCGAGCTTAAGTAGTTTGACTTATCGATCGAACCAAATTTGAGTATTCTTATATCCGACTCGAGTAACTCGCAAGCCTAATCGAGCTTTTATATTTAAATATATTTTTATTATTTTAATTAATAAAATATTACGAATTCAAGTTCGAGCTCAAGTATAAATAATCGAACTATTATCGAGTATACGAATCGAATTTATTTTTACATATTAATTAAACTTAATTAAGCGAACTCGAATAGTTCGAATTCGATTATGAATCGAACTCGAACTTGAAAAATAAAACTTGATCAAGTTTGAACCGGATATCGAGCGGTGAGTTGTGAGTCGAACTCGAACTCGAACTTCTCACTGTATCGGTTTGACTCGATTCGATTACACCCCTAATTATCATCTTGCATATTCAACTCAAATTAAAATTTAATTCTCTTTTTTTATTTAAAAAAATTCGAATTTAGTTCTTTCAAAAATGTAATACATGTATCTCCACCAAATGTTCTGTTGCAACTAACCTTTAATTTTTGTATTTGAGATTATTTAAAATTAAATTTTAATTATTAAAATTAAAAGTTTAATATTTTATGAATAGATCACGCAATAAAAACAAACCAATTCTTTAATTTTCATTAACAAAATTTTGGTATAAGAAAATGTTGTAACCGAGTCAATGAGTCTGTGATCTTACGCTAATATCGGCGTGAATAACTCCTTTCTTTTTGTTTAGATGAAGAAAAGTTTAAGAGTACGAAAATTATTGATTTTCAAGGTCAAGACATACCATATTAATCCATAAAAAAATTTTTAAATTTACAGATAAAAAATCATATGAATTCGAACTTGAGTGTTTCATATTCGAATGCTAAACTTTAACCATTCATGTCTATTTTTATTTGCGCGTGAATGACGTTTAGTCTAGTCTTCCATTGAATATAAAGAAGTTCATTGAATTCTGAACAGCCCAAATTGGCAATTTTCCACCATTGAATATGATTGAGAGGCAGCGACTACATGCTGGATTATTAACACAAAGATTAGAATAATGAATCACTATCCAGTTTATAGGATAGGATCAGAATCATCACATTAAGTTTCATGTATGATGTTTTTATACCTATTAAATCCGATCCTATCCATTAACTTTTTTTTTTTGTAAATACAATCCGACCTATAAATACTATTCTATTTTATCAGATTAATCGAAGAAAGTTTAAATCCTTTTCATGTCATAAGATTTTTTTTTTTTTTTATGACTTTGTTTTCAACTCAATTCAATAGGTTCAATTCCTCGTGTTTGATAGTTTGATTTGTTTTTTTTATTATAAGAAAAACATAACCTTGTATCAAGTTTTCTTTCTCCTTTTCTCATTAGGTAAAAATATCTACAATCCAAATTCCCAATCAGATTATGGACAATATTTTCCTTGGTCAATAATGAGCTTGGCTTGGTTTGTAGATATGATTATTGGTCCGATGGCAAGAAGGCTTGCTATAGATTAAGAAAGAGAGTTTGCGAAATATGTTACATAAAAACAGCCAATGGAGGGCCGGAGATAATACATTGGGTTGAGCTCTGCAACTCAAGTTAGCAAGATACAGAAGAATGAAAGTAGGCAGATGTTGATGACTACTGAGATATAAGGTTGATGCAAAGTTTTTCGTGAAATAGGACACCCTAATGGCAAAGCCATCTTTGGTAGGTCAGATGCCATAGAAACTGAAATCTTCAACAATTACCAGTTCATGATAATAGACCAAGTGTTTTCTTTGTTTCAATTTGCTTGCCGGCTTGATTTTCCCTTGTATCATTATCAATGGTGGAAGGAACCAAACGTGTTTTCATCTCATACATGGCTTTAATTTTCCAAACCCAGCTCAACCCCACCATGACAGAACCCAAGTTTTAATCAGACAGAAACGTGAAGTAACTGCTGAGATGACAAACGTATACATGTAATGAGAAAGGACAGTGGCTGATTGAAGAGTTCCATCACTGGAAAACATCAAGCACGCGATCCATGCAATAATACATGTGTAAGGGGTGCGAAACTTCTTTTTTTTTTCTTTTTTTTTATAGGATTAAATGCTTCTAATTGACTAGTTCTTAAATTGAATGGTAGGTTTTTTGCCAGTAATCTACGTAAATCATGCTGCATGTAACACACGATAATGGTCCCTGCTATTTCAAACTTTGGGTCACATCCTAGAGGCTTGAACCAACGCCAAATAGCAATGGAAAAATCATGCTTAGCAAACCTAGCACTCTCTCCATCGTAAAACCATAGGAAACAGACAAAACTAGGCAAATAAGAGAGAAATATAAAGGGGCATTCTAAATACACCACAAAAATTTTTTTATACATATCTCGAATTTTTTTCTATAAATACACTTATAGCAAATAGTAATTTTAACATTTAGTAAATGATAAAAATACTCTCAATAGCTTATACACCTCAAAACCACCTTTGTATATTTCAGAAATGAATTTTCAAGATTTATATTATGTTTTTAGTAATCCATTTATGAGAAAGAAATATGATTCTCGAAAATGGATTTCTGAGACCATAATATAATTATCTGAAATCAATTTTTGAGGATTATATTGCGTTCTTTGAAATGAAATTTCAAGAATCATCTTGTATTTTTGTAAATCTATTTCTGAAAATATATAAATTTTTGTTTAAATATATATTTAATTATAAACTCTTGATAACATTTAATTTTAATTTAAATAAAATAAATACATTTAATCTTAAAATAAATAATAGTAAAATAAATCAATCTCTTTATCAATGTCTAGCACAAAAAAAATTGAATATACTAAGATCTCCAAATGTCTCTAATGATTTTTTCAAGGCATGACTCAATTCTGGCAATAAAGACTTTTAATTTTTGGGCCACTAATAATACCATCAGTAGATTGACAAATTTGAAAGATTAGAAGTCTTTATTGTCGGATTCATCGGTCTGCTGATAACATTGTCAAGATCAATGTTCTCTAAGGTGTTTAAGCTTGAACTAACATGCATGCACACACACAAGTCATTAATGTGCCTATTATTACTTGATCATATGTGCGAAAAAAAGAAACATGTTAGTTCTTATGCATACATGGGAATAAAAGTGTTTTTGTCTTGAGACTAAAAAATCAAAAACACCATTTTGCCCATGCAAAACCAAAAAAAAAGTGTTCTCGATTTTTTTGAGTCTTAAGATAAATAATAAGTTTATATCATACATGTTGAAAATATCGATTTTCAGTTTCATTTGTACACATGATTAAATAAAATAGGTTCATAGGAGCATGATTAAGGTTTTTGGATATCTATTTTCGAGAAACTCAATTTCAAGAAGTGAAGAAAAAAAAGTAGGAATGGAAAATAGAAAGTAAGGGATGAAGGTATATTTAATAGAAATAAAAAATTGAGTTTTGAATTTGGGATGTATTTAGAAATTTGGAGTATAGAGTAAAAAGTTAATGTAAATATAATTCCCCAAATATAAAAAAGAAATTCTATTTACACCTCATTTAATGCTATATACACCCCACTTCTATATACACCTCAAATTCAAAACTCATTTTCTTAATTTTCCTAAATACACCCCACCCTTCACTTTTTATTTTTCATTCATACCTTTTGTCTCTTCTTCTTTTTTCATTTTCTGAAATCGAATTTTTTGAAAATGAATATCTTAGAAGCTTTGAAATTTTTCGAAAATGGATATCTGAGTCGTTTTAAGTAATTTCGATATTAATTTTTTAGAAGTCTCAAACTTCTTGGATATTCATTTCTGAGAAGACTCAAAAGTTTTCAGATATCCATTTTCAAAAAAGTCTTGAGCTTTCTTGAAAATGCATATCTAAGAAGATTTAAGGCTTTTCGAATATCTATATCATAGATGCTCATTTTCACTTTTAGCCAAAAACATTAATCAAACGTTTATGAACCCATTTATTTGATTATATGTGCAAATGAAATTGAAATTGATATTCTTAATATGCATGGTGTAAACTTGTTCTCTCTTGAGCTTTTAGAAATCGAGAACATCGTTTTTATACCATGCATGCTTGAGAATTTAGTCTATTTCATTTGCACATATGATCAAATAAGAATAGGCACATCGATAACTCACGTAAGCTAGTCCGAGCTTTTGCTGACAATATCATCAGTAGATTGACAAATATGATAGTATTTAATCTTTTAGCCACTAGTCTTTGCTGTTAAAATTATCAATATGTAAATAATATTTTTCAATGTCCTAAAGATTAAAGATCTTGATTTTTTTCATTATTAAGAGTTTATAATTAAATATATATTTAAAAAAATTATGTATTCTCGAAAATAAATTTTCAAAAGTGATGACTTTCAAAAATCTATTTTCGATAAAGTAATATAATTCTCAAAAATAAATTTTTTGAGAGATGTATTTTGTTCGCAATAATTTATTTTCAAAAATTATATTACTTTCTCAAAATTAAATTTTCGAGAACACAACATAACTTTTGAAAATCTATTTTCTAGAAATATGATGTGGGTTTTGGGTATATAAGCTATTAAATATATTTTTTTCATTTACTAAATGCTAAAATTACTATTTAATAAGTGGGTATTTTTGAAAAAAAAAAATTTAGTGGGTACAAAGAAAATTGGTGGTATATTTAGAACACCCCAATGTAAAACCCAAGATTTTTGCAATGACATAAATACCCTTCAACGCAAAATGGAATTACGAACGCCTCCACCGTTAGCACCTGTTTGGCATTTCTCAAGTCTTCTCATTTTTGGCCAAACCTCAGAGACTTCACTACCCTAAACGAAACTTCCCCATTTCCCTCTCATGGTCATCTCTCTCAGATTAAGCAAAAACCCATTAATTGATTAAGGTAAAATATTAATTCCCTACAAAATTCTCTTTCTTTTTCTCTGAAATTGTATAAAATTTGGAACTTTTTTACTAAAGTTGGGATCTTTTTTTTGATAGGTGCATAAAGGAGTGATCTTTGTGGAGAGTGGCGGTGGAAATGGCGAGTGTGATTGATGCGGCGGGAGAACCGATCCCGACATCGTCGGTGCTGATGTCAGCTGCTAAGCACATTGAGATTAAATGTAGGCCGGAAAATGTGGAGTTTCTTAAGTGCAAGAAGAAAGATCCGAACCCTGAGAAATGTCTCGATAAGGGCCGCCAAGCTACTCGCTGTGCCCTTGGCGTGTAAGCCTTTGATTTTTAATTTTTCCATTTTTCAATTGCTCTGTTGTTTTTGCTGAACTGATTCATATAAGATAATGTTGGAATTGAAAAAGAGTTGAAATGGAAAATAGGATTGACTTGGGAAATTTGTGATAATTAGGATTATTGGGTTTAAATTTTTGTTTAATGGAAATGAAGTTCCAAGAAAGTGTAAGTGAAATAAACATAAATGAACTTTGCAATGCTGATGATCTCATTGTTTAATTAACAAACTTTGAAATAATGTTTGTGGTCGTTTGTTAAACTTAAAAAACCAAATCTGTTCACGAACTGTTCGTCGAACGTTACGTTTGTATATACCCTATAAAATTTGGAATTTGTTTTTTGGAGGTTTTATATTGTGAAAGTATGGTAAAGGACAGTGGGAATTGATATCATCCCTACAGGCAGGCAGGAGAGGGAAATGAGCCTTTCTTTTTGGAACTATGTGGTTTCGATTTGTTTTAACATGGTTGAGCATCTAGAATTTGTGTCTAAGGAATCAAGGTTGCTTGCTTTGCTAAATTTAACATTGTTTAGAAGTTGTTGATTGATCTAAATTTATTTTCAGTTGGGAGTTGAAATGCATTTAGGGTAGTCTCTATGTGATTAGACGAAATAGATTCTTGTTAATTGTGCCTTAGAATCTGATATCTGTTGTTCTCTCTCGTGGTGGCAATTAGTGTATATGTTTGTGTCTATTTTGTGTCAAACATTAGCAAAACACAAAAATTACTGTATTATAATTCATGATGACACACAAACACCAAACATATTTTTTGGTTTATGCCAAATCATATACAGTTTTTGTCAAAATTTTAAACTGCATCATTTTCATGTCTTTTTTATATCGTTTGTCTCATGTCATCGTGTCATGTCTAAAATTATCAGGTCATTTTAGGTTGGTTTTGTGATCAATTTGAATAGGTTTTAGTTCTGCCTAGTGTGGACTAACCAAATTCTTATTAGGTTTTCTCTTTGTGTCGAATGTAAAAATCGAGCTTCCTACTTCTCCATTTACAGAGTAGACTACCAGCTATTTGCCACATTCACTTACTTCGGACCTGATTTTACAGGAAGTAGCATTTTGTAGCTTAAAAATGCCCTAAACATTGAACATATTGTGGTTTGTACTTGCAAGCTACTAGAAAGCTGACATTTCCTTTGGATATAGGAATCCTTACAAAGTTCCAAGGCAACAACAATTAGATCATGGCAACATTACATGATATAGAGTTCCAAACTGCTACCAAATATGCATCCGACTTACTTTTGCTTCATTTGGATGGGCGGTGGGAAGGGATTCCACCGGCCATCCAAATGAAGCATTTGTTTAGGTCAATATATCTTTGCTCTTCGAGATTTAAGATCCTTAATCGAATTTAGAACTTGAGTGATTCAAAATTAGGGAGAATTTCTTTCCCCCCTAACTTATCAAGTAGTATTTTTGTTATTAAATCCCTTGAAAGTAAAATGTGGGAACTCAATGTATCACTCTTTTTTTTGTCTTTCAATGTATCACTCTTTTGTTTCTTAATCCATCACTTTGTTTTGGCACCCAACCTGAAACAATTGTAGTTGAACCTCATTTCAATTTCTTACTTTCTTTGAATGGTTTTCTTTGAAATATTGAAGCACATCATACTTACCAATCAGTAGAACACTGTACCTTCCTTTTCTGACAATACGTTTTTCTTGCCGGAGAATCATCTGTGATGCTAACCAGCTTGTACATCGATGCTCTTAAGTCCAGAATAACAGTTTATTGAAATCTCCTTGTTTATATTTGCATAGAGTGAAACAGGATATCTTGCAGAACTAAACATTACCTAAATAGATGGGAAAATGAATATTATATCATTATTTTTCATTATCTTTTTCTTAATTATGGAATGTTTGACTCTGCAGGCTAAAAGATCTTTATCACAGATGCAAAGACCCCATGGAAGCATATGTTGGATGTATGTATTACCACACGAATGAGTTTGATTTATGTCGCAAAGAGCAGAAAGCGTTTGAGAAAGAATGCCCGTTGGGGTGACCGGCAAGCAAACAACATTTCAAGTTCCATGCTTAAAATAAGTTAGGTCAGTTTGCAATTAGCAAAAACTGTTGATGCGTACACTCATAGTCCTGCCTTCTATGTGATAAGCATTCCCTTCTTTTTGTATGGTTAAAGATTGTTCTTGGGATTTTTTTTTTCAACCGAAAATGATTCCGCTCCCATTTTTTAACATAATTTATGATGATGATGAGTGATTCATTCATGATATTTTTCTTTGGAAATGCGCCTTCTCAAATGATTTTCCTTTAATGCCTATTCAAAAGTGAAAAGAAGCTATAAAACAGATTTGACATGGGGGCCGTAATTGGAAAAAGTGCTTCATTGGCAATACGGGCTCCTAAGCTAAGTTAATATAGTAAAAAATTTGAGTTTGAGTTTAATTCTAAAATTTATTGTTTGAACTCGGCTTGAGCTCCGCAAGTGTTAATTTTTAAATTTGAATTCAATTCGAAATAAAAATTGAATTATTTGAATTTGCTTCATTAAACTCGAACAATAAAAATGAGTATGATTTTCATATTTAATTTCAAGTTCAATTATGTGTTCACACTCTAATTCAAACTTGAATTGATATATATAAGACTAAAATATTAATTTTTAATTAAACTAATAAAAACATATTAAAATTTAAAATTTCAATTAAGCTTGCACAAGTAAGGAATTAAGATGCTTAAGCTCAATTTGTCCAATAAATCAAATTATACGAATTCGAACTCAATTCAACAATAATCAATTCGAATTCAATTCAACAATAATCAATTCGAACTCAATTCAACAATAATCAAGTTAAATTTAAGTTTTATCTTAATTGAACTCAAGTAACTTGCAATCATTGTGTATCATTTACACTTCTAATTATAAATTTACAATATCTCAATACCTCTATCCCACAAAATATCTTGAATTACAGAAATAAATTTGATTATCTTTATGGTAAAAAAGTGAAAAAAAAAAAAAAAAGCATACATGACTAGTTTAGTAGTCCTATTACTTTGGATTGAAAAAAAAAATGGGTATAAAAAATATGATTAAAAATTTGAGTGTTTGATTTTACAGTAAATAATTGAAATATTCAAAAAGAATGTCTAAAATAATTAAATTATATAAATATAGGAGTAATATAGGAATTTTTATATTAAATATATATTTTCACCACCAAAGAACATCTTAGACAAGTTTTTTCTTTGAATTTGAAAATCAAAACTTTCAATTGAATAGTCTTTTTTTTTTTTTTTTAAGATTGAATTTGGGTTAAAAACAACTTTTGAACGCAAAATCTACTGTCAAGATTAGACCAAAATAAGCTCTTCAGAAATCACAACTCCCATTGGATGCTAATATACTAAAGAGTAATGAAGGCAGACCGCAACATCAGTCAGAAATGGTATCTCAAACTCATTAAAATCAACATGCAGTAATATTATATCTACTGTTAAAAACTGCTAAAGTTTGAACACGTCCTTTAACTACCCACACTAACTCATAGTATTACTTTTACCTCAAAATAAAAAAAAAAGCACCAGACTAACACACATTACAGTTTCCAGCAGCAATCATGTGTACAGCACCAGAAGAAGGCCGCATCAATTGAAAAGCTGCTAGCGTGGACTGCAGAGAGGAGAGCACACAAATTCTAACTTCAATTGTTGCGATGGACTCAATTGCAAGTATCAATGAAGTACATACTAGCCCTTAGGTATTGAAAAAATTTGCCAGAAAGTTGGGAAGCACCTACCTGAAGGATCGTGAATGAGATCTTGAAGGACTGAGAATGTCACGCTTTGGACTCCTTGACCTGCCACGAGCATAGTCTCTCTCATCATGGGGACTCCGGCCATTCTCCCTAGGACTTAGGGACCTCTGCTTGGTTCTGTATTCCCTTTCACCACGTGGAGAAGGAGACAGTGAGACAGATCTAGATTGCCTGGGAGAGCGATAGTCATTTCTCATGCCACGATCCTGTGAAATTGATCTAGATCGCCTGGGGGAGCGGCTCACTAACTGGTCCCTGTCTCAGTTTCGAGTGAAAACAGAAACCATAAGAAATTAATACACCATGCAAATAACATATATAATGACTATCAAGCATTCAGGGCAACAAAATCTATTCAGTTCATATAACAGCATTAGACAGAATGTATAAAAAGGAGCGTTTCTAATCTTTAACAAGGCAATCTAGCATAAAACAGAGGATATGCATGAAAATGACAACAACTTCTACTAGCATCCTCGCACAAATCAACTGATTAAAATATTGACCTTTACCTGTACCATTCCAGTGTTTCTGAAAACCTCAAATTATCTTTTTCTTGGACAATGCCAACAAATCTCTACAAGTAAATACTTTGATAGGCTTCCTTTGTTTGAGGATGATTCTTTCTTTGACCAAATATAAGCTCTATTTTCTTTCTTAACTGGATAGTATATGAAAAGATATCAAACTAAACAAATTTCTCATGAAGAAAACTAATTAAAAGGTCAATATGCAAAAGAAAAATATAAGGTACTCCTGTGATTCTAATCATCTCACAAACATTTTAGCTGGTCTGTTCATTGAATGGCAGCAAGCCTCACAAATCCAAAGTCAAAGAACAAGACCCCATGCAATTGGTAGTCAAAAGCTGGTGAAGGTGGGATTATGGATAATACTTATGGAGAAGCTTTGATAGAAAATCAAGTTGTCCATCACTTTAAGATCTCTTTAATCTTTATTAATCGAAAAGTCTTTAAACTCCCCCTTTTCACTTTACTATCTGGCATCTGCATAAACAAGGCCACCACAGCAGACATTATTTAATTCACTGGAGGACATTGCATTATGTCTAATTGACATCGATCATTGAATATTAAAATTTAAGCAAACACAGAAAGGGGAAAAAAGGAAACTAGAACTCAAATTTTGCAGCTTCCAAAAATAAGCTCTTCCTATTGTGATGCATAGCTTCAATACCACCATTAACAAATTTGAAGGACAGAAATGAGAGAGTAAGTGAACTTTTCAATTTCATTGGTGACATAACATTATCCTATAGATAGCATTAAGCGAGTAAAAGTAAGAAACTAAAAAAAAAAAAAAAAGCCAAACGAAGATTATCCATAGCTACCACTTAACTATGCCGCATGCTTCTGAAAGAAACCCACAGAAAGTAGTAACTTTTGGACACTTATATGAAATGAGGGAAGATAGTATTTTGTTAGCAGACTTGATTATCATCATGACAACTTTAACAAAACAACTTATGAGTTAAAATACTGCTAAAATTATATGGGCATGCACATCATAGAATATTCCAATTGCTCTCAGCTTCACAGGATACAATTTCTAAATGCTCCTCTATGATCAAAAGAAAGTATGAATGAAATCCGTAGTTAATCATCTTTACCACATTATAAATGTAAAACAGTAGAGCTATACAATAGAAAGCATAAAATGCTTCAAAGAAGTAAAATTCAAACCTTGAATCATGCCTAGCAGGTGAAAGCGAACGAGAGTAAGCTGTGACCACAAATAACAATAATTGAGCTCACATTAAAATAGAGAATTATCTTCAATAACCATTTCCAAGTAATGAGATCTTTTAAAACATTAAGAGAAATGCAAAAGCAAAAGTTTTAAACTGACAGCGATATCGGCGTCTTGGGGACCTGGGTGGTGTTCTCCTGCTTCCTCCATGTCGACCACTTTAAACAAAAATGAAAGGGTAAGCATTGCTTAATCAAATCAGCATTTTATTTTAACACTCTGGAGTGCAAAAAATAACCATGAGACCACAATTACATAATAGAGAAATGAGCTATGCCACCTTGAGCGGGAACTCAGACGCATTTCTTGAGGACTTTTTCTATTCTCCTCAGCAAAAACAATTCTTATCTCACGTCCACCAATCACTTGATAGTTCATTCGATCTTTTGCTTCAGCTGCATCTTCACCATATTGAAACTTCACAAAACCAAAGCCCCGTGGCTCCCTATAAATTCAAATCATAATAAAGCACAATTAAGAAGCCATACATCTTTATTGTTACTAAATACAAAATATCCACAGGCCAACAAACAGATAGGAAAAAAAAATCAGTAAAGAATATTACTATGTTCTTAAGTTCTATTCAAAGCAGTGCAGATATCAACATACAAACAACCAAAATCAAAAGCCGTACACCAAATAAAACACATAAGAATACAAAACCAAGCAATAGCATACCCGGTGTAATAATTTTTTGGGAGATAAACATCCTTCACTGGGCCATACCGCTCAAACGGAACCCTAAGATCTTCAGGCCTGCAGAGCACAATGAAATTAAACTTTTCAAGTCTCTATTTCTCAATCAAGAAATTTCCTATGTCAAAAATTTCAGTTAAAAAGTCTAGAAACCCGAACGAAGAATTCAAATTTCCTCCCCTATAATTCATATTCATAAGCATAGTAATCGAATAAAGAAAACCTATACAAGATTACAGTTAGAATAGGTGTTTATTAGAAAAAACGACGAGAGAGAGAGAGAGATGAGAATACCTAGCGTCGAGGGGGAGATTGCGAATGAGCAAGCCAGAAGGAAGATGAGATCGGCGGTGGTCACGGTGAGAGCGGTGGCGATCGCGAGGGTCATCGTCGTACCTCTTCCTGCCACGTGTTGGAGTCCTGCTACGGCGACGTGGACTGTAGCTTCTGCTCCTGCTCCGGTGCCTCCCCATCGCCCTAACCCTAGCGCAGAACCAAACAATAAAAATAAAAGTTTTGGAGGGAGAATATAAAGGAAAGAAGAGAGAAGGGAGGGGAGGGTAGACGAAAGACGAGATAGAAGCAAAGGTAAAAAATAAAATTAACCGGAGTGAGACGGAGAGTGAAAAGGGTAAAAATGGGAAGAAAATAAACTCTCATTTAACTTTAGTCAAAGTCAATGAGTCGAATGTTGGGCTTATCTCATCTCATTACGGCCCAGTGGCTAAAACCTTGAGAAAGAGGCCTATATGTCTGAAAATGGAAGACAAAGGGCCTGAACTCGTAAGGCCTTTGTCTCACCTTGCTTGGATTAGAAAATTGAACTCGTACCCCTATATCGATTTTGATTCGATTTTTTTAATAATATACAAAATTATTAATTTTTAAAATTTAATTCAAATTTAAATTAATTTTTTTAAAATCAATTTAATTCAAATTAAATTTTACAAGTTCAGTTTAATTATTAATTTTTAAAGTTTTTTATATATTATTTTAATAAAAAATTTAATATATTTAAATAATTTTACATAAAAATAATTATTTTATTTTATTAAAATTTAAAATATATATAAATTAATAAAAATATATAATTTAGGTAGATTCAATTTTTTTTAATTTTTAAAATTTTGATCTAAATTTAATAATATATTTAATATTCAAATTTAATTTGAATCAAATAAAAAAATTAATCCAAACCAAATTAAACACTATAATTTTAAATTAATTCTCATTCTCGATTTGTTTTTCACCCTTACTTAAAATACTATTTGAATTCAATCAAACCCTTAAATGACTAACCAAATTTAATATTTTAAATATATATATATATATAAACCTTTTTATTGTAGCTATTAAAATATCAAGCCTAGTTCTAGAAGGCGACAAGATGGATGATTGACGATTTCAACAATGACAAGGAACCTTACTCTTGTTTGCCAAATTTATCAACTTTAGAAAATGTCATATGCATTAAAAAATAAAAAAAATTTATTAACAGCTAGTGTCGATAAATCAATCCAAAATCGTCGGGCTTCAATTCAATCCGATCATCTAAGGTTATTTTTTTTTAAATAAGTTTTGGATCGAATTGATTTTATTTTTTTAAAAGGCGATTTTAGGTCGGGTCAGGTTTATATGAGATCCGACCCGAGATATTTACAAAAATACCCTTTTATCATATATATGTAATTTTCTTTAGGGTTTCTCATTTCTTTCTGTAGTTCCATCTCTTGCCCTCCCGATCTCCTCACACAACCAGACCTTGTACCTTATTTATTTATTCACTTCATTTCTTTCTTAATTCGCTTCCTCTATTTCAACAAAGAAAGCATCCAGATTTTAGGGTTTCACATTTTCTTTTGCAGTTCTGACTCTTGCTCACCTAATCTCCTCACACAGTTAGACCCTAAACCTCATTTCTTTCTCCATTTCATTTCTTATTCAATTTGCTTCCTCTATTTCAGCAAAAAAAATCCAGATTCGGGTTATTTTTTTATTTATATTATTTTTTTATCATCGTTCTTTATAACCTGTGTATGTAGTAGAGAAATCCAAAGATAATTGCTAAAATTTTGAGTAAGTGAAAAATAACTCTCCTTGTTGATATCTTAAGTTGTAACTTGAAAAATTGAATTCGGATCAAATCGAGTAAAATTCTATTAATAACATGCTTAACGGGTTGGGTATTTTGACTACAACCTTCGAGTGGGTGCGGGTGGGGTATTGGGTAAAATTGTAGAGGCTTTGAGTTGGAGGTAGGGGCAGCAAAAAATCAATCTACTCCACCACATTGCCAACCATACGACTTATACACTATTGTAAAATTTAAATAAAATATATTATTTTAAAAATTAATTAAAATATTTTTACAATATTTTTAAAAAATAAAACATTAATTTTTTTAAAATATCAATATATCATTTTTTTACCAAATTATAAATCTCTTCTTAATAAATATCCATAAGCACTTTTTAATATATACTTTAAAAAACCATATATGCCTCCCAAAGCATTTTTAATTTTGGCATAATAATAAGCTTTTATTTTATTTGTTTAATGAAGGACAATAACAAATTATATTAATGTTACAAATAATTTTTAAATTATACTAATATATTCAATATAATATTTACATTTTAAAAAATTTAATATATTATTAAAATTATAAATATGTATTTTTAATGTGATATAAATTCATCAAAATTTTATATGAATTTTTATATAAATTTTATTATGATTAAATAATTATAAAATTTTGATAAAAATTATTAATATTATATTTTATACATAAATGTAGCTACATGACAGATTAAAAATACTTAATTAATAAATTTACAATTAAAATATTACAAATTTTTAAATTTTAAATATTACATTAAATGTTGTATTATAATTTAATATCCATTTATAAAATTTTCTAATAAGTTAATAAAAAAAATTTTCGGGCAGCGTTAAGACCAAAGCAACATCGTCAAAATGTGTGACAATTGACTTCTGACAGGCATCTTCTCGAAAACTATCCGGTTTTATTGGAGCAAGACATGTCACCACAAGCGCCTCTTCATCTCTTTCGACAGCGATCCTCCACCTTCCAATTCTCACGCGCTTCCTCTCTACCCCGTTGATTTCGACCTTTTCCATCAACTAATCCAACAACCAAAAAAATCATCTGGATTTTAGGGCTTCTATTGTTATGGAGCAAGCTCCATCTCCTCCGTCCCTAACGCCAATTGAAGCTTATCGGTCTGAGGATACCGAAATGGACGTGCAAATTCCGGTGACCGAAGCTGATCCGACTTCCTCCGTTTGGGACTGGGGCGATCTCCTGGACTTCGCCATAGACGATGACTTCTCCATCTCCTTTGACGACGAAAACTTATCTCCTTCTCCGTTAGAAGCTCAAGCTCCAGATACGGGTCCAGTTCCCGGACCCGATCGTGTCAGGAAGCGGGACCCGAGGATGACATGTTCAAATTTTCTAGCTGGTCGGGTCCCGTGCGCGTGCCCCGAGATTGACGAGCAAATCGAGAAGCTTGAAGAGGAAGAGGCAGGGGCGCCGGGAAACAAGCGAGCCCGAACTGGTCGGATCGGGTTGGGGACATATAGGTGCCAAGTTCCCGGCTGCGAAGCGGACATTAGCGAACTTAAAGGTTACCATAGGAGGCATAGAGTTTGTCTCCCATGCGCGAAGTCGAGCTCCGTTTTGATCGATGGAGAAACAAAGAGATATTGCCAACAGTGTGGCAAGTAAGCTCTATTTTACTATCTTTTCTTATTTCTTTTGCTAATTTTTTCCTCTGCCTCCCACTTTTTAGGCCAAGTTTAAGTCTTTCTGCTCATAATTAATGCTTTTTTTGTTTATTTTTAAGGTTTTTTTTTGGTTAATATGTAATTGAATGCATGGTGCATAATAGTGGAATTTGTAATTGGTGTTTGGTTAATAGAAGTCTTTAGAAGTGAAGACTTTGAACTTTAGACCATGAATGAAGTTGTTGTTTATGGTTAACTGCAAAAGTTGGAACTTTTTTTTTTTTGTTATTGTAATTTCTTGTATTGAACTGTTTATTTTGTCTATTAATTACTTGTCAGGTTTCATCTGCTGTCGTATTTTGATGAAGGTAAAAGGAGTTGTCGATGGAAACTAGAGCATCACAATATTATACGGCGAAAGAATTCTGTTGGTTCTAAGACTGCAGTCAATAAAAAATCTCAAGCGGCTGTGCAAATTGAAGACATTGCTTGTGATGGTGGAGCTGGAAAAGGTTCCATAAATTTGATTAATGCAGCTAGTTGTGGATGGAATCATCATTTTTTTGTAGGAGCTGCAAGTTTTTCTTCCTTGTTGGATAATTTATTATTCTGTGTTCTATAGATGATTTGAGCTTGAGTGGCCAGATAGCTGAAGAACAACCATCCTTTGAGTCTGAAAATGGGACTCATTGCTCAGTTCCCATGTTGCAGAGCGTTAATAATGATAATATTGTAACTCTTAATGACACTGAAACAGATGGAGGAAAAGATCAATCCAAGTTTTCCATTTCTACTTCTTACCTTGACAATAAGACTGCTTACTCATCCATGGTGGGTTCTTTGATTTGATCATGCTAGCTGCATTGTATCTTCATTTTAAGTTCATAAGAGAAAACTTGCCAGTTTATGTATATATTGATTTTGTGTTTCATTATAGTGCCCTACAGGCAGGATCTCATTCAAGCTTTATGATTGGAATCCGGCAGAATTCCCACGAAGACTTAGGCACCAAGTATTTTAAACAATTATTCTTACAGTTTAATATTTAAATAATTAGAATTGTTTTTGTGTTCAGAGAGCTGAGGAATTGATTGACATGTGGCTAACTGAATTATAGATTTTTCAATGGTTGGCCAATATGCCTGTTGAGTTGGAAGGCTACATCCGCCCTGGTTGCACAATCTTGACTGTGTTTATTTCAATGCCAAAGAATATGTGGATGAAGGTAATGGTTCAATGAGATGGTTTTTATTTAATCTCTTTTTGGGTTATATTTGGTTATTATTTTGACAATGCATGCATGTTTACATACATCACACACATCAATAGTCAAAATTAAAAGCCAGTAACTTATTTTCCTCTTTCTCTGTCTCTCAGCTCACTATGTAAAGAGAAAAAGCTTGTTCTGATATTCCCTTAACTACATGGTTTCTGAAAGTCTTGAGTTGTTAATCTATTATCTCTAACTTGCTTGTGTTTATCAGCAACAATGATATTTTGGTATATGGTATATTCATCAAATAACTTAGAATGTACATAAGAATGCAATTTGTTTTAATGTGAAAATTTTGATGCTTACTGCGGATGTGAGTAAGGAAAATTACCTTCATGAAAATAAACTTTATGAACAAATATGCTATATTCTTGAGTTTGTGTGCCCTTATTTGTATTTAATTAATGTAGACATGAAGTCACGCCAAAATTATGATTAGTTTATTCTGGCAGAAAATTATCTTCTTGCGCTTGCAATTCTCTCCTTCTTTTTCATGTTTTTGCCAGATTTGACAGGAAATTAACCTCATTTTTTCTTCTACTAAACAGTTATCTGAAAATCCAATGACCTACATGCATGACTTTGTCGTTACACCTGGAAGGATGTTATATGGGAGAGGCTTCATGACTATATACCTTAACAATATGATTTTCCAAACCAGAAAAGGTGAGAATAAAATGTAAAAATTCACAAACACTTTATTTTCATTTTAATTTAGATTTTGATGTCTCCACTTGAAGAGCCTTGAAGTGGATGGTTGAAATTTCTGGAAGATAATTTCCAGTGAATAAAAATTTCTCCTCATTTGTGCTCATCTGTTGGCCTTAACCAAGCTGTATGTACACTGCAGGAGTTAAGATTTTATATCGTGGAATAGGCTGTTGATTTCATATTTAAGTTCCTGGTTTAAATTCTTCAGTTTTGTATGTGGCTGCATTTCATTTAATTAGACCTCTTAGTGTGATTAAGGCCCCTTGTGTGTGCAGATGGAACTTCTATGGTGAAAATTAATGCGGAGGTGCAGGCCCCAAGACTTCATTATGTTCATCCTTCATGTTTTGAGGCTGGCAAGCCAATGGAATTTGTTGCTTGTGGAAGTAATTTGCTGCAGCCCAAATTTCGGTGTGGATATTACCTTTTCAAATTATTATGTATCTATGTGACAATTTCTCTTTCTTTTTTATCTTTATTGCCTTTTCTTTGTCTTTCACAAAAAATATTTAGTTGACAACTCTATGAACAACCCTTCTCTAACCCCTCATCTTCCCTTATCTGATTCATTGATCAATAAGAGAATGCAATGCGTGGAATGGGGCTATATTGGGCATTTCTTTTAAAATTCAGGGTATCATTTAGCCTCACATTGCTGTTACCGGGATTTAATACTTTCTGATCTATGGTCCAAAGTTCTCTCTTGGTGGGAGTGGAGGTGTGGAATAGGGAGCAGGTTGTGACTTGGAAATGCTGCATGAAGGTCATATAGGACCTGTATTTTATATTTTCAACTCTTCTTTTGTGTTGTGCCAGAATAGTGAACTATTATAATGTAATACTTAAGAAAGATGATAATTATTCCAGGTTCCTAGTATCTTTTGCTGGAAAGTATCTGCCGTATGATTATTGTGTTGCAACCACACATGTTCAGAGTAAAGAGGATTCTCCTAGTTGTGGTCATCGATTATACAAAATATATGTCCCTCAAACTGATCCAAATCTCTTTGGTCCTGCATTCATTGAGGTGGGTCCCGTGAAAGTCTGCCTTAATATTTGGGTTGTTGTCTCATTTCCAAGACAATATTGGACAAAGCCATCACAATCTATACTCTTGTTAAATGGATAGAGGACTTGTTATTCACATTCAATACTTCTGCTTTGGCTATTGTTGGCATGTGATAATATTATTAAAAATATATATGAAATACTTTCTTTTTCCCCCAAGTTGAGATACAATATTTATATCAATCTGGATGAGGTTTTGACATAATATGTTTGAGTTATCCTTTTTAGGCCTTTTTTTTCATTTATGAATTTCTTTTGTAGGTTGAGAATCAGTCTGGATTGTCAAATTTTATTCCTGTCCTAATTGGAGATAAGGAAGTTTGTTCTGAGATGAAGTCAATACAGCAGAGGTTTGATGTATCTTTTTTTCAGGAAGGATCAAAAATTCCTTCCTCTGGGTCGATGTTTGAGGCATGTGAAGCTTCAACTTTGCGACAAAGAGCTTATTCTGAACTTCTTTTAGATATAGCATGGTTATTGGGGGAGCCTAAATTGGAGAATTTTCAAGAAATTGTGGCTTCTTCTCAAATTCAAAGATTCAATTGTTTATTGAGTTTTCTCATACAAAATGAATCAACAGTCATTTTGAAGAAAGTATTACTAACTCTGAAGATTGTAGTGGATAAAACTGGGTTTAATGGAGCTAATGATTCTGATATAAGGTTATTACGGAAATATATGAATTACGCTAGAGATATCCTTGGTAACAAACATCAGAAAGGTGCAGGTCCCGTGCTTCTTTCAGAGTACATCGAGCAAGAAAGAAATTTGTATTCTCAAAGCAGTTTCACAAATGATGAGTTATCAGTTGTTCCAAATGTTTCTCAGGTGAGCACTGAAAATTTTGTTAAATAAACCAATTTTATTTTCTTGGTTCTGTATATTTTGGTTTTAAACAAAGCACAATGGTTTTGTATGATCCATGGAGTATGCACCATGTCGGTGGAAAACTGTTTGCATTGTCTTCACTTTTCCTAGCTGGTTTCCCTGGGCTCTTTTTTGTTCTGTGAGCTACACATTCTTGTCCAGAATCTGTTTTGTTCTTTGATGGTTGGCTGAGGCACTCTCCCCTCTCTTTTCCTTTTCATGCAAGTTTATGATCTTTTTCTTTCTTTTTGCCCTGAAATAAATATATGTAAGTTGAACCCAAGGCTTAGCCTAGTCGGTTTATATAACCACCGTTAAGACATGGGATCCAATAGGTCTAGAGTTCAAATTTCAAGACTTGCAATCCTTACTCCTATCCTATGGCCTCTTTTGTACAAAAAAAAGTATAGGTATGTTTGTGTAGTATCATATTTTATGCATAGTGGAGAAATTTCTGGCATAGGGTTTGCCTTGTAAATACTTGAGACATGAAGTTTGGATGCCACTCTACAGACTTGTTATTATGCTCCTATGAAATTTTGAGCAATCTGGTTTCTTAATGCATGAAAGCTTTTTTCTCATCGACTTCTGAGGAATAAATATGTTTCATTACAAAAGATATCAACGAGTAGGATGAGAGAGATTTTGAAAACCTATAATTTCATTTTATATAGCTTTTACACATTGTTCATATTTCCATACTTACAATGATGTGTTTCATTTGCAGGATTCGGAAGAAAGAACTAATGGTAAATTACAAACAACGATGGCATCAACTACTTTCACCAGAAACGAAGAAATTATCATGAATGTGAACCTTAGCAAAGAGTGCCCGAGAAAATCGTGTAGCCCCATTTTCGCTACCACAACACTGAGATTTCGTCCTGCTGTATTTGTAATTGCTACAGCTGCTATCTGCTTAGCGATGTGTGCAGTCTTTTTCCACCCTAATAAAGTTGGTGAGTTTGCAGTTACAATACGCAGGTGTTTGTTGAACAAGGTCTTAGATGTTGAATGAGGTCTAGATCTCATATGTGAACATTTAAATGTATGTTATGCTTGATGAAATCAGGTTGTCTGAAGCTTCAGCATGTGATTGTGCTGCTGCCCCAGTTTTGAATTTGATTTCTGAGATTTATTTGACCTTGTTTCCTCAATCCAAGTCCATCTGACAAAATGGAGAATCTAGAGTTTGTACATGTATGAATGGTAACATGAAAGTTGTTGAATGGAGGATCAGTGAGGGACCCTTGTTGTTCATTGTAAATCTTGAAATTTAGAAGTTCTGATTAATCAGTTTTTGGTGTTTGTATTTCCCTGTATTATCTTTTGTTTTCCACTTCTCTACCACTCATGAAAATTAAACAATCAATTAAATCAATGGTTTCACTAACGAGTAAATGATACATCGGTGATTATAAATTATTTAAATTTGATTCGAATAAAATTTAAATTTAATTTTATTATTATCGCATCGAGTTCAAATAATTTGGACTTATTGAGTGAAATGAGTTTGAGTTTTTTAATGTTCAGTTGGAATAATTTGTAAATTTAATGAAATTTTTATACTTTAATATATTGTTATTATTTTAATTAAAAAATTATTATTTTATTTATATATATATGAATTTGAGTTCAAATTTAAAAATATAATCAAGCTTGAAGTTAAGTAAAACAATCGAGCTTATGTTTTTTATTTAATAAACGAGTCTAATCAAATAAATTTAAATAGTTTGATTTTTAAAATTTTTATTTCAAATCAAATTTGATTTTTTTTTTTTAATTGTAAAGGAGGGTTAGTGCCCTTACAAGGGAGGAGAGAAATGATGAGGTCAAATTCATACTTACATGACTTTCAACCCATCTCTTAATCATTAAATTAAAAAAAAAAATTAAATTTAAATTTAAAATTTATAACTTAATCGAATTCGAATTTAATTTTAAATAATATATTTCAAATTAAATTCGAACTTAAAATTTATAATTCAACGAAATTCAAGTGCAATTTCAAGTAACAAATTCTTAATCAAATTCAAACTTCTCATTGTATCAGTTACACCCCCACCAACGCCTAGTATCACATTCCGCATGGTTATAGTGTTCCTCCTCTTCGTCGCTCTCTTCTACGTCGGCCATCCTGTCACTGAAAATTCTCCGTCACCAACCACGACATCAGCCACAGCAAGCAAACCGTTAAGAAATTAAAAAAAAAAATTCCCTTATTTTTCTAATCCTTGCATTGGTTTCTGATGTTACGCCAAAAACAATAAAAACCAAGTTTAAAAAGAGCCTTTTTTTCTGTCATTTTAATTTGTGCTTTAATTTCTGATTTTGTATAAAAAAAAAAAACCATTTTTTTAAACGAGCCATGCATTTGATTTCTTAAATTGTTACTTTTGTTGGGGTTCTTCCTTTGATTCTTTCTTTTTTTCCACAGTTATTGTTAACTTGTCATGTTAGCTCGTGGGGTAGATCTGAGTTGCTCCTTTGGTGTTTAATGAACTTCAATGATGCTGTAATCAGAATTTGATAATGAAAATTTTTTCCCATATCAATCACATATTGATGAAATGATCTCTTCCTTTAGACTTCAATATCAGTTCTTGAGAAATTTGATATCTCACAGTTGGATAACTGAGTCTTTCAGCCCCTGAAGAACTTCTTGTGCAGCTTTATTTTCATCAACACTACTAATTTGCAGGACTAGTCTGGTTGATATATGCTACCATCGACAGCCATTTGTGTTTCAATCTTGTTTTTAATACAGTATCATTTTGAGCTTGATTCCAGTGAAATCCTATACTTGGGCAGACATTAGTTTACTAGGAAGCTGTTTCACGTTTTGATATTAGAGTTTGAACCCTACTTTGAATTGTTGGATGGTTGGAACTTGATGCAATCCAATGCTGATTCTCAAATGCAAGCAAATTTTGAACCTTTTTAGCATCGAACTGGCTCCTTGCAGGGGTGAAAAAAAATTTGAAAAACTAAAAAATTGATTGAAAATTAGTGTTTGGATTAATTTGGATCGATTTTTTTTAATTCAATTCAAATTAAATTAAGATATATATATATATATATATATTAAATTCAGATCGAATTTTAAATTAAAAAGTAAAAAATTGAAAAAACAAAATCGAATCAATTATATTTTTTTATTAATTTTATATATTTTTTAAATTTTCATAAGATAAAAATTATTGTTTTATACTTAAATTTATTTAAATATATTAAAAATTATATAAAAATAATATATAAAAAAACTTAAAAAAATAAATTTAAAAAACTGTTGAACCAAACTTAAACAATAAAATTTAATTTGGTTCAATTTGATCCGTATGAAAATTTTATTCAATTTGAATTGAATTTTAAAAAATTATAATTTTATTCATATAAAAAAATTTAATCTGACCTAAATTGTTGTCATTCTTAACTCTTTGTTTCTAAATCCAAAATTATTAGAACAAAATTATTCAAATACTCGAAATGCATATACGAGAAATTAAAGTATTTGATTCGACATAAAATTTTATTTGTGTTACTCGTAATTTTCATGGTAGAATCTTCTAAAGGACCATGCTTCAAATAAAAGAAATCATTATGTTGTGTATTCAGATCAATGAAGATGCCATGGGGAAACAGGAAAGACTCGTGCCAGTGATCAAATTGTCTGCAAGACTTATAGTTCATATGCCAATCAAATTTCACCATATCATGTCTTCAAAACCCATTAAATTAAGTCAAGAAAGTATAACAGAAGAAGTCTTTCTTCATTTGTTTTTTCTCTCTATTTTTTTCCATTTTCAGCTATGCAATTGGTCCCCTCATATCATCTCAGGTTGTGAATCCAACATAGCAGCCAATGATTATACGAAACTCAAGTTAAAGTTAAATTCAATTGATTCATATAATTATTATTTATTTTTATAAATTCGATAATGATATTATTATTTGTAAAAAAAAAATTTCAGGTTTGAATCCGAATTTTCAATACTTTCCAAAAAAATCTAAACATCAAATATATTCTTCTTTTAAAAATAATGCAAGTATGAATAAAAGTTCTGCTTTTGTTCCTCTCTGTTCCAATCCCGGCTGAAATTTTCCAAGTCTCAGATTACTTTAAATATCTTTGGATTATGGTCATCATTCATTTCTGCAATCTTTAAAACATTGACCACCTAAAGCTCACAGTCAAAGATGCTTGTTTCTGGGACCAGATCAATTGACTTGATGGTTGATGATTCTTTCCCAAGGTTAATCATCTTCTATCTTGGTTTATCCTTATGTGTTGGTTGGCCTGTCCATAAACTTTCTCATCCTTCTTTCATCTTATTGATGATGAAACATTAATATTTAAGACAAAAACAAAGACCAAACTTTTGATGATTGCCCATTTCCTTGATTTTTTTTTTTTTTGAGATAAATGACAATTTTATTTACCCTTGCTACCAATAACTTATTGTTAAGACATTCATCAACCATGATTGGATATTAGCTATGCTATATGTAAAAAAAATGCGAATTTCAGTGCATGAAACTTTTCGTTTTACAAAAGTTAGAATTAGATAAATAATAATTATATATAAATTTAACAAAATTAAAAAAAATTATTTCATATTGATACGAATTTTAATTCATAATTTTTATATAAAATATGATGTAAATATATAAAATTTAATATTTTATACTCTATTTTCTTTTGTTTTTTCTTTTTACAGGGAGACTACTAATTTGCAAGTTTCTTACCATTATTTTGGCAGCAGACAAAGAGACATCCCAACAGATTATGATTGACATTGTAAGCATTATATCTTCATCAATGGATTTATATTCCTAAATTCCTACAATGGGAAAAGAGAAAAGAATAGTGGTAGGGAAAAAAAAATCAACGAATCTGGCTGTCCTTTCTATGATCAGATTAAACCACACAATTCTATAGTTGCCCGACTGACATTAATTAATAACTTTGAAAGCATGGATGCCAACAATGAATGTTAATGGATCCTGGACTAACAACAGTAACTACAGACAATTTACTTTTGGAATTAAACGTAGGATCTGATGTCAATAAAGATTGATACAAGTGATTATCGAATTTGGATGCAAAATACCTTAGTTTAAATTCCACTATTTACGATTTTTTGTTGGTAAACTATTTATGATTTTTTGTTGGCATGCAATTGATAAGTTCAAAAAAATTTTATAAAAAAATCTTAAAATCCTCTTGTGGAATCCCCATAAAAAAAAATCTATAAATCTTTTTATGAGTTGATGACATACCCTAACCTCGACAATGAGCTAACCTCCACTAAACTTATTCTGTAAAATATATATATATATATATATATATATGGTATTTGGCAAGAAACGACATGCTATGCTGATGCCCGTCTTCCAACAATGGGAACTTCATTTGGATGGGCTCCCAGAGCAGGAAGATTAGCTCTCTGCTGTCTAACATAACATCAGATTTAGGAGTAAATTGCGGAAAGTAAAACAATGATGATGGCCAATACCCTAGTTTGGGGATTATATGCCAGAAATTCAGTATTTGGCTTGTTTTGACAGTCATATAATCACCCGACATGAGTCACACGTGTGCATGTGTATGAATGCTTGCTGTTTCCAAATGATGGATCTAATCTGGCGCCTGCTGTTTTGATCCATTGGCAAGCAGCATTCCATGCCAGTCTTTCATTCATTAAAGACTTGATGCATGGTTTTCTATCAATTTTGCTATACCAGTAGCATCAAAATATTGCAGAGCCACCCCAAGGAATGAATGGCATTAGAAATCTAATAATTCTAGTGCTTCACAAACAGATCAAGAGTCAAATTCATGGAAGAAATAGTTGTAGTGAAAGAGAAATATCAACAGAAAGGTTCATTTGAGGTCAGGGGAGTGAAACTAGTAGGAAACTAGTACAACAAAAGCTCACAGGTAAGACAAAAGAGAACCTTATAGTAATAGAAATGAAGTGGATCACAAAGACCATTTGTGCTACAGTATAAACCACCCTCAAATCTTGCTTTCCCTTCATGTTGATGGGTCTTCAAAAACCCATTTCCATCATAGGAATTGACCCACCAGCTGCCACGATTTGTTGCTCTAGCTGCAGGCAGCACAATAATGTCTCAAAAAGGTGTAAAAAACCCAAAAGGGAAAAAAGAAAACATAAGAAAAACCAGTTTCATAACTGAAGTCATGAATGAATCAATCTCCTCTAAGCAAAAACAAGTTTACTAACCCTGAACAATGCTTCAAGCTTGTTCTTCACAAGGTAATACTCTTGTTTCACTTGTTGAAGACATCTCAGGCACCTGAAAAATTTTCCAGGTTCATAAACTTCTGAGTAAAGAACAAGAAAAAGAGAGGGAAAAAAAGATATAGACAGACTAAAGCAACTCACGCTTCAATGTTCTGCTCCTCACAGAAGTTGCGAAAAGCAATGCAACCATTTTTAACTCTCTGTGCCCCAATGCTGTTAAACACAAACAAGAACCATTGATCCTCATGAAACAACAATGAGCAATAAACAAGAAGAACAGTAACCGGTGCTCAGCTCAATAGGTTCATGCAGCGACCCTTAAGAGCTAAATCCATCAAGTCTAGGGTTCGAATCCCAAAACCCGCAATCCTTTTATTCCCAACTGCACACTAAGGCCTCTTTGTACAAAAAAGGAAGAATTTGACTTCCTAAATAATTTGTTTCTTTTTCTTGTTTTAACCTTATTTTCTCTATCACATGAATGGTCAGATCTAACAAGTTTAAGACCTGTTTTTTTCATTTGAAGTAGCGCACTTTTTGTACTGTAATTATGGGGTTCAATTACTGTTGAAGAAGAACCAAAAATTAGGAGAGAGGGAACAGAAAGGGCTTCACAAAAGGGATCAGAAATGTAAAGCAGGAAATGAAGGCACAGATTATCAAGGCTTTGTACCTTGAAAAAAAAAAAAAGAATGGAAATCTATAAGTACCTGGAGCTGCTACCCTTCAATTGATGCACATGTGCATCAACTTTTTTGAAGTCTACATTTGGCTGATCTCTGTGCAAAAAGGTTGAGAAAACAAGAGAAATCAAAGACTTATCTTATAAATGAAAACTCAAAGCTATAACAAAAACCAGCTATGGCAAAGAAGGAAGCAGACTCAAGGTGAGTTCTTTACAAAGCCATGGTGAGATCATTGAGAAGTTTCTCAGAATCATCAAAGAAGAGAGACACAACTTCAACAACAAAATCTGGGTTGCTCTCATCTTGAAGCTGCTGAAGCTGTAAAAACTGACCATCCAAGAAACCCTTCTCTCACCAACAACAAAAACAACCAGAAACTATCAAAACCAGACCAAGCAAACAAATCAAACATACCAAAACAAGAACTACAAAACAAAAAAAAAAAATTTGAGATTTTTGTTAACAAACTTGTACATTTAAAGTTCCCTTTTTTTGGGGTTACCTCCATAAACAAGGATTTGGTGTAGTCCACCAACCTTCCCTGCATCTGACCCACTTCCATTGCCTTTGTTTTTTTCCACTCTCTCTCTCTCCCTCTGCACACAAGCGCAACAAAAACAACTTACCACTAATAAAAGCTCTCTCTATATATAATCCAACAAAGCTGAAAGCTTGTGGCTGAAAGTCTATGCTTCGATTTCTCTGGATTCGTGCTTCAAATGCTTCTGTTTTCAGTGTTTTCTTACAGAATCATAGCCTGTCCCTTCCTACATTTGCTTTCTCTCTCCTTTTTACATTATTTATAAGCATTAAAAAATCCTAATTATTTCTGTATTTGTTTTATATTAAATACCTATAAAATATAAATTATTTTATAATATTTTATGGTAGAAATGCTTATCTTCAGTATGTTGTTCTCTTTTGTTTTTTCATGTTGGCTTCAACTATTGGTCTAGACTAGACTGGAAGTTAACACATGGGTGGTTGATGTATCAATGACTTCAGAGTTTAAAATTTTTTTCTAAATTTGGATTTTTTTTTGCTTTAAATAAAATTAAGAAAGATTATCACAAAAACTTCAATACTTAAATGGAAAATATAATTATTTTAAGTAATTGACAATATCAAGTTGGTTAACAAATTTTCCTTCTGTTGTTATGGAAATTAATGCCTGCTTTTGACTAACCATTTTCTTATTTTAGCTTTTATCATGGGCGTCCCTCTCACATAACGTTTGAAACTTAAAAGTGTTTATAATTTGGTTTTAATTAAATTAAATTAAATTAATTTAGTTAATAAATTGATAATTGAATTAATTTTAATTAATTATCAAAAATAATTTTAAAAAAATTTAATTTTTGATTAATTCAGTTTAAAAATTAAATTAATCAAAATTTTAATTAAAATATTATAAAATATATATATAAAACTAAAAATATACAAATTTATCTATTTCATTTCAAGTTATTAAAATTTTTAATTTAATATTTTGATATTTAAATATTTTTGTTAGATAATTTTAGTTAATTTATTTCACATATAAAAAATTAAAAATAAAAATATAATTGAACTTAACATATTTTATTATTCAATTAACAAAAAAATTAATTGAATTGATAAATTAATTTCAATTAATTAATTTTAAAAATTAAAAAATTTAATTTAATTAATAAAATATTAAATAATTTAATTCAAAATTAATTAAATCGATCGAATAAATCTTTCTATTAAATATTTTTTTACAAATCATTAATTAATGAGATATTAATATTTTATTAATAAAATATTATCATTTAATTCATTAATAATATATAAATCTAAATAAAAAATTATTTTTTAACCAACTTGACAGCAACATCACTAATGAATAAAAAATAAAATGGTCCAGCAGAGGATTAAGCAATTGAAAGTTTAATTAGTATAATATCAATCAATCCCTCCAAATATGGAGCTTTCAGGGAACAGGACCTGTCATCACAGCTAGAAATTGCTTGGTTGACTGCTATGTCGTCTTATTTTTTATTTTTCAAACGATTTTAAAGATGTAATTTTTAACATAAATTCGATGCATTCAACATTTTCATATTTTATAGTAATAATCTAACATCTTTCTAGTATTGTTTTTTCATTTTATCCCATTAAAAAAGTTAGAAAAAATATTTTTTTTGAAGTTGGGCACCTTTAAAATGTTTATCCAATTGATTCAATTAATTTTAAATTAAATAAATAATTATTTTATTTTATATTCATTAATTAAATTAAATTTTTTAATTTTAAAAATTAACCAATAAAAATTAATTTAATTGATTTGGTATAGTTTTTCGATTAATCTAATAATAAAATATATTAAATTAAATTATATTTTAAATTCTTAATTTTTGATATGTGAAATAAATTAAATAAAATTATTCAAAAAATATTCAAATACTGAAATATTAAATAAAAAACTCTAATAATTTGAAATAAAATAAGTAATTTCATATATTTTTAATTATATGTAAAAATTTTATTAAATTTTGATTAAAATTTTAATTAATTAAATTAATTTGATTTTTGAATTAAATTAATTAAAAATAAAAAATTTTTAATAATTAATTAATCAAATTAATTTAATTTAATTGATTAATTAGATTAAAATCAAATTTTAAACATCCTATCATAAAATAAAAGTGTAGCGAGTTTTCACTTCAATCACGCATTATTTTTTGTGCTCATATACATGTGTTTATTTTTAGTTGGAATTAACATAAAAATAGCCCCACATTTTATTTAAATTCAAAAAGGCAATCAACAATTTTGATTTCGACCAAATTAGTCCATTCCATATGGCCGGATTCATCGATACCGGCCGCATGTCAAAAAGGTATTGGCAATAACACTTGATATCTTCACATTTTTAATTAATTTTTAGTTTTTTAATTTTCTTTATTTTTTAATTTAATGATTTTAAAAATTAAAAAATTTTTATTAGATCTAATAATTCGTATCATGTATCATATAAAATATTATATTTTATATAAAAATTACATATCATAATAAAATTATAAAATATAATTTTTTAATTTTATTAAATTTATTTATAATTTTTTAAAAATTTTAAATTATATTATTTTTATATTTTTTATTCATATTATTTTTATATTATATTATGATATTATATTTTAAATCATCGTGTGATCAGGGCACAAGAAGACTTACATACAAGCTAATATTAGTTCTAATTTAATTATCTTTTTTTTTTTCTTCCTTCATGAATAAAGAAGGGACAGCAATACGTAAGATATGGGTTTTTGAGGTGAAAAATCCCCTTTACGCTTTGGATTTTTCTTTCTATGGACAACATTAAACGTGGACAGAGAATCTTTTTCATTTGTTAATATTTTTTATATTGCTTTGGAAAAAATTTTAGGTGGTTCCAGATTTCCTTTTATTATTTGTCTGTTTTTATTGTCAGTGCATATCATGGAAGATAATGTTCAATATGCTTATGATGGATATTCCATTACTTCCACTTCGGCCTTAAATCAGAAAAAACAGGCTGTTGATGTTGGAGGACATGAAAATATTAAATTTCTAATTAATTTTTTTTGTTTTTTAATAAAAAAATTTATAATATGAAGATATAAAAAATTTATAAATGCAAAGATTTTAATTTCTGAAATTTTAGACGTCACCTCTTTAAAATAATTTATTTGGTTATTTTTAAGATTAAGCTTAATTTATACTCTTAAAGACTTATGCTTATATTTAAAGGACAAATATAAAAGCTTACAATTTGACGTGTTCATTAGATTGGCTCGATTAATTTTGAGTTTAATTATTTAAAATTAAATTAATTAAATTATGTTATTTTATTTTTATTAACTGAATTAAATTTTTTAATTTTAAAAATTAATCAACCAAAATTAATTCAATCGATTTGATTAATTAAAATAATTAATCAAATAATAAAATATATAAATTAAATTATATTTTAAAATTTTATTTTCTTATATGTAAAAAAATTAAATAAAATTATTCAATAAAAATATTCAAACACCAAAATATTAAATTCAAAACTCTAATAACTACTTGAAATTAAATGAATAATTTTATATATTTTTAGTTTTATATATAAATTTTATAATATTTCGATTAAAATTTCAGTTAATTCAATTTTCAAATTAAATTAACCAAAAATTAAAATTTCTCTAAAATTATTTTTAATAATTGATCGAAATTAATTCAATAATCAATCGATTAATTGAATTAAATCAATTCAATTGATTAATTTGATTAAAACTGAATTATGAACACTCCCACCCACAAGGCACTCCTTGTTTCTTCTTTCTTTGTATGTTATTCACTGTCGGCAATACTTTAACCTATAAAGCTAAGTCATTTTTACATTGAAGATAAGAGAATCTGTCCGACCATTGAACTTAAAGTGTTTAAATGGCCTTTAACACAGTGATGGCTGAGCATCTGGTTCAACTTTTAGTCACTGACCTTTTCTCTTGAAAAGAAAAGTTTCAGGCACTCAAATGAGATCATTGATAAAGCATTCCCACCCAGAAAAAGGTTGACCACTATAAGAATCTAAGAACATTTCCTATAGCTTAAAATTCCATGGCATCATGGCACATTCGAATTAAGCTAACCGGTAAGGAAAAGAATCGGTTTTTGATCAATCAAAGACAGATTCTTGTGAGAAAGATTCAGTGTATAAAATTCTAATGCATCATGTTGATGTGAGAAAATACGCCTCAGAAAATCATTCAACGACGGGTAGCACATGGCATCATATAAGAATCAGTTTCTTGTCAATCAAAGACCGATTCTTGTGAGAAACATTCAGTGTTTAAAATTCTAAATGCATCATGTTGATGTGAGAAAATACGCCTCTAAAATTATTCAAGGACGAGTAGCATATGGCATCATATAAGCACGAGTAGCACATAGAGAAACTTCATAGCAGATTTCAGCTGAAACACTAGCTATCAGACAAAGACTATTGGATGACAAATGAGAATCTTCCCGAAGGATATGTTAACAAAGCAAATAAGACCGATCCTGTTGTCTGTTCGAGTACTGTTCAAGTTATCGTACATATCTACATTTCATTTTACAAACGATAGGGTTTTTCAACAAAAGGAGGATGAAATAGAGTTATTACATTAGTGTAATCAAGGTTCAAAATAAAAGCATTTCAACTATGTTCATGAAAACCGTAACAAGATAACGTATATTTATAATCCACCAAAAAAATGAATGGATAACCCACCAGAGAAAATCCAACGGCAGATACTATCATGGAGTCATGTAGTTTAGAGCTAACATACTTTGCAACTTCTCCTACAATAGCCAGGAAGCTCTGCTGATCCAATCATATACTCTGGGTTATTGGAGCACTCACCAAGAGCAGCCCATCTCTCACAACTCTCATTAAAATCTGTGCAGTTGCCGCCGGCTGCCAAATTCTTGTCAAAAGAATCAACGTGAATCCACTTTGTTGCTGACCATTTCTCACCTTCAATCACCGGGCACCCAGCATGCAAACTGCTTGGGTCAGGGATAGCAGTTGGGGAGAGACTGAAGAAGAGAAGGGCATCCCCTCTCCGAGGTTTCACTAATTATTTCCAAGATAGAGATACAAAAGTAAGAAAACAAAAAGCATCAATTCATTGCTAAACTATATGATTTTCATAAAAGTTGTTCCAACTGTTATGCTGCTAACCTGCAATTCCCTTCTTTGCACATTCTGAGAGATCATCATCTTTTGCAGGAGTTGTACGACGTGAAGATTCCTGATGATGAAGTTAAATGAGAAAAAAAAAGTATTATGTATTATCATTACTTGCAAGAGAGAGAGAGAGAGAGGAGAGAACTGCAGTCATCCCAACCAGCACCTAATTATCCACTTAAAAGAAGGGATGCTAGGCGGGAAGCTTGTCCCATTTCTCATCCATAGGCATGTATTTTCGTAAATAAGAGCTGGCCTCAGAAACTTCTGAGGATAACCAAAAATCATGAAGCTTAAAAAATTTTTGAGCCACTCGAAACCACCAGTGGCTTAAAGAACATGACTGTAAGCATGTGAAACAACACACAAAGGGCTCCAATAGAAATAAGGAAATTTAAACAAACCTCTGCTTGGGGAAATACTGTTTCACCACCTTTGGTCACATTTGTAAGATACATCAGAACAGTTGCTATGCGATGTCCACCCCTGGCAATATTCACCTTGTCAGCAAAGTAATCGTAATGCGGATCATATTTCTGTCCATGCTCATATCTCAACACTTGTATGTCTTCCCCATTTTCTGTATATGAGAAACAAAAATCTTGTTAATACATACTTCCTTAATTTAACTGCAACAGCTAACTTTTATTCTCCATCTCCTCAAACACGTATGTATCTGGTTTTGTAAACCTATCACACATGAGATTTATGTATCCCAGCCAAATGTAGCTGAAGTTTTAGGACAATGACCAGAAGATGATCACATTAAGATGATTTGATACTGTTATATTCACAGATCATAAAACATAAAAATTACATTTCAGTTACATAAATTAGCAAGCCAGATATATGGTTCACAGACAAACAGGTCAGAAACACGCAAAATAACTGCCTTTATGCTAAGCAAAGCATTTAACATCTTGTGTGCCCACATCACACTTACAGGTCAATCTTGTGGGTAATGAAATGTATCTTTTAAATAAAGTTGCTTGCATTCAAACTGGTGGGTGCAAGAAATCACAGTAGCATAATCTAACTAAATTACTTATTAAATCACTACCTACAACCTCGACCACATGAAGAAATGTTTCCAAATTCCCTAACCTATCATTATGGTGCACAAGAAATCTTCACAGCTTATTAAAAAATTGTCATGAAAACAGAAACTTATAATGTAGACATAGAACTAAAGAAACTGGTCTTAGTAGAAGAACACCCAAATTAAAATATTGTGAAAGGTTAAGATCAGGAGAGATAGAAGCTTGAGCAACAGTCTTCGTGAGCATATGGTATACATACCTTTGGGAAGAAATGTCCATGTTGAAATCTTATCCTCTATACCAGCAACAATTGGATCCTACAAACAAAAAAAAAAAAAAAGAGAGAACGCGTAATGCACATCAAAGCAATATCCAATAATCAAATGCATAACGGTTCCAATGCTGCGAGTGTCTCCTTCCAAAAACTTATGGCTAAAAGCTTGTCAGATTTAACTCTTTTGACCATCATTAACATATGTTTTTCATCAAGATACACCATACAAGTCAAGCCGATACATAACAATATCAAAGCATGAAACTATCTTGTAAATATTACATATAGGGATAAAGATAATGAAATTGACTACCATTTTCACCAAATCCTAAAAAACAGTTCATATCTAATGGGCTACCAATGCTAGAAAGGATAAGTGTCTGAGTAAAACTTGAAACTTGAAATGGCCAAAATCAAGAACTTCCATAATCAAATTTACACTTCATAATTCGTATATTCATGTTTATCTATTTCATGTTTTGTGATAATCCAATTCCACATCAGAATATTTTGAAGATATGATATAATATGTAAGTTGAAAGTTAAACCCATACTTGTAAAAGGCCTATAAAATCATGAAATATTTTGGTCAAAGCAGATAATATCTCGCAACAGTCAACTGGGAGCTAAGTGTTACACCGTGGAAGTTACCTCTAGAGTCCCAAGAGAGTTAAGTTCTATACAATGGGAATTACCTATAGAATCTCAATGTGTGCTATGTGCTTTATGTTGAGTTTGACGAGGACATTAAGCTTTAACAGAGGAGTTTGTAACACTCACAGGAGAATTTGTAACACCCAATCCCATATGGAATGTTCTAAAAATCTGCTATGATATATAAGTTCAGACTTAAACCTATACTTATGAGACACTTTTTGTGAGACACAACAGTGAAACATTTGGCTTAAAACGGATAATAACTCCAGATTAGTTGCGAGTTTACACATGTTTATCACGTATAAAACACAAAAATTATTATATCACAATTCATGTCATCAAACACTATATTTTTTTGTTTTTACCAAAATCGAATATAATTTGTTTTAAAATTTTAAATATTGTATTTTTTTCGTATATGTCATTTCATGATTAAAATTGTCGGGTATAAGACTGAGGAGTAATAAATATAATCTATAGCAAAGTGGATGAAGATTGAACCTTTTCCTTAGGAATAAACATCCCTGAGCTTGTCCGGACTTCGCTAAGCTTGCTCTCTCCACTGAGATTATCCGCAACTGCAGATCTCTTGAGCTCCGATTTCGCCTTTAATAATAAAAAAAAAATTAAAAAACAAAAGAACTAACATTAAATGAATTCAAATTAGAAAAGAATTAACGAAAGATGAAATGGAACTCACGAGAGAGATCAAATGATCGCATTCGAGGTCCGTTAAGAAGCCTTCATAGACAAAAGCCCTTCAAAAAGACAAGAAATTAAAAAAAAAAATAAAAATTTTACTAGATTCTTTGGCCAATTGAAAAGAAACTGAGAGAGAATGAGAAAAACCTAGGTTTCGAGGAAACTTGTTTGACTTTAGAAGGATCGATAATGGAGCTTGAAGGAGTTAAGAAGGAATCACAAGATTGATACAAGATTGAAGCGATTGAGAACAATATAAGGAGTTGCAGAGGATAACTCCTCGCAGCAGCATCCATTGAATGTAGAATTTAGATCGCGTGAAAGAGAAGGAGAGATTTTCCGAGAAAGAAAAGTCAAAATTTTCTTGGGAAAATGATACTTCCTGATCTGGTTCTTAGTCTTACAAGTGACCTGTTTAAACTGTACAAGCAGGGAGCCACCATGATTGTTCTTCACCTGATTATATCTTACGGAACTAAAACGGTGTCACTTCAAACAATTTTTTTTAACGGTTATTACAATTTTGCTTGTGTAATATTCCTGCATTAATTATTGAATTTTCACCTAAAATCAAATACTAATTCTTTTTTTTTTTTTGGTAGGAAAATCAAATACTAATTCAAATCTAAGGTTATCTGACTAGTTTTACTTCTTAATAATGCTTTTTCATACTTTTCTTTGTGCATAAAATACAATTTTTTTATATAAAAAAAAACTGTCAAATTACACGAAAATGATCAGATGTCAAAATTTAAATTTTATATGTATTAAATGTAATTTTTAAAAGTAATTATATAAGTTAATTAAATTAAATCTTAAATTTATAAAAATATAATCTTTTAATATAACAGGTTGATAAATTATTTTTATGAGATATTATTTATTATGGGAGTTCGAAAATCTACTCTTATGATTTTATTTTTTGAGAAAATATATTTTGATAAAAAAATGATTCATGCTTATAAAGTCGAAGTTTATTCCTTTACTATTTGATGTGAGATCTTTTCAACACAAATTACGATATAAAATTTTCACTAAACTTTTTACTTTTTTTTCTTAAGTAAATGTAATTTTTTGAAACACATAATCACAAGTAATTCACTTCGATCTTATAAATTTTACCTTAATTTTGAAACTTTTTTCTTTGTTCAATTTTTCTTTTTAAACCCAAGTTCTAAATGAATGTTCTTTCCCCCTCTCTCAAACTGTTCTTCAATTCTCAATTTTGGGTTCATTGATGAAAATAGAACTGAATACAAGGATTGCAGAAATCCAGAAGAAACCATAACTCAGAATTTACGAGCTTCATTGAAGAAGAATCAGACTAAAAAAAAGGACTATGAAACTTTGTCAATGTGACAAACAAAGTTTAAGCATCCTCAGACTGTCTTAAAAGAATCTCCATCTGACTATTCAGATCATTTAAAAACTTAGTTGAGTTGTAGTCATCTGCATCATAGATCTCCTCTGAGTAAGTTCTCTCAAGTACAGAATTTTCGCGTTGCATCAGCGTCTCCAGGCAGTTAAGATCACCCTTCAGAATGTTTACAACCTACAGTAAAATGCAAAGTTTGTATCAATCAAGATAGGAGCATTGTCTTCAGATTGTTAATTATAGTAATCAAAAACTGCAGTTTTACTTGGACTACAAGTAACTTGCAATGGAAGGACATGCCTGGCTCATTTGAGGTCGATTCACTGCAGACTGATGTATACAAATAGAAGCTGTTGCAGTAACACGTTTCATCTGGTCCGAGTCATAGGCATCCCCTAGAGTTGGATCAACAAGTTCTTCGATCTTATTTTCTTTGATCAAAGGTTTTGCCTGCAAGAATTTGTACATAGAAGTTGAATCATAGGGATTCTCAGAATATTGGACATGGCTGCCGGCTGGAGTGAAGCAAACCTACCCACATAACCAGGCTTTGCTGTGAACTATCTACAGCTTGCCTTCCGGTGATGAGCTCCAACAGAAGTACCCCGAAAGCATAGACGTCTGTCTTTTCATCGACTATGCCATGCATGAAGAACTCAGGAGGAAGGTAACTGTCATGACATGAATTGATCTGTTGAAATTTTTTTATGCAATGAAAGGATTTTAAAGGTTCAGAAACCAAGTAGGGTTTGAAATTACAAACCCAAATGTGCCTTCCACTTTAGAGACGATATGATGAGTCCATTGATCAGGTAGCCACTTTGCAAGCCCAAAATCAGAAATCTGGAATCACATTGGAAATTCAACCTTTAAGCAAGGTACTGCTGACATAAAAATGATACGAGAAATGTCGTAATTTAAAATTTTAACAAAAACTGTATATGTGCCTGGCAAAAATAATAAGAATACATATATGTTTGATGTTTAGCGTGTCCAAACAAATTATGACATGACAATTTTAATGTTTTATGCGTGCTAACTATAAAATAGATAAATACGAATACACGAATTGCTATGTTGTTGTTCCATTTTACTGCAGCTACAGCAAAATTGTTCAAGTTCAAGATGTACCTGAGCATCAAAGTTCTCTGTAAGCAATATGTTTGAAGCCTTGATATCTTTATGGATAATTCTCCTCTGGCAACCTTCATGAAGATAGCTAAGGCCTTCGGCGGCCCCTACAGCAATCTTGAATCTGATGCCCCAATTCAGCTTCTCCTTGGGGCCTGAATATGCATGGCAACAAGTTGAACTGCTAAATTTTTGTCTATTAAGAACATGTGAAGAAATCGGACTTAAGGGGCTTGGGAGACACAAACCATAAAGTAATGATGCCAGGCTTCCATGGGGAGATAATTGAAGAACAAGGTGCATCCCTCCTTCAACCCCATACCCAATCACTTTAGCAATGTTGGGATGGTCAACATGAACTATAATTCCAAGCTCAGACAAGAAATCCATTGTCATTTCTTCTGGTGAGCCTCGGGTTAGCCTCTTAATTGCAACAAACTTTCCACTTTTCAGTTGCCCTTTGTAAACTTCTGCATACCCTCCTTCACCTATCAAATTTTCTTCTCAACAAGAGAAAAAAAACAAAGATGCCACATAAATGTTTGTCAGCCAACCAGGGCAATAAGAAAATGTCAAAGGAACATGTTTCTTTTCAGTGGTGGATCCACATGTTTAGCTATTGGAAAACAAGAAATTTTGAAGAAAAATTTTTTCGGACATTATTTCCATTGATAAAAGTGATAAATCCGTGAACAATTTTATATATATTATAAGGGGATACTCCGAAAAAAATTTTGGATCTGTCATTGAATTCTTTTCCAAGTGTAATTTTGACCTTAAAACCGGATTGAAATTACTAAAAACAAATGATTCAGTAGAAGGAAGAAATATACCATGGCTGAAGTTGTTCGTTGCTTCTTGAAGCTCTGAGAGAGAGAAGTTCTTCCAGGTAGATTTAAAACAGCATAATTCAGCATCAAGAACTGAACATAGTTGTGGAACCATTTCATCTCTAATTCTTTTGCTCTTTTTCCTAGTGAGCTTAGGTTTTAGAGGAGGTAAGCTTTGAGAGGGGATTCCAGGTCCTTTTTTCAGTAAGCGAATGAAGCTACGCCAGTGAACAATAGTAGCTAAATTTGGTTGATGTTCAGTGTCTGATAAGCTGCTGGCCTTCGAAGAAATTATCTCAGATTCTGCAGATTCTATAGATTCTACACTTGGTTCTAAACAATCTATGGTACTTGTTGAACAATCCTCGTGACCAGCTTTTGCAGATGACATGTCGATTCCCTCGACTTCAGTGCTTAATGATGTCAATTCTAACATGATATAGAATTCTAACATTAGCAAAATTATTAGTCTCTTACGGTGTCTAGGCCCTAAAGAACATAGAAATGGATGATTAATTACCAAGAGATGTAATTGGATCGGAGAAACAAGCTCGATGTTTTCTCCTCATATGGCGAAATGGCTCCCATTTCCTCTTATCGGTGGCAGTTTTATTGGAAGTTTTGCTGTCAATGGATGGTTCACCACTACAAGAGGGAAAAAAAAACAAGCAGATGATATGAACAACACCCATAATAAGCAAAAGGCCAGCATGGAAACGTGTATGAACAGATCAGATATTAGATCAGAAGAGCCATTAAAACAACACCTGTTACAAAAGAGGTAATGTAGAATAGAAGATAATAAAAAACAAAGCCTGAAAAAGAAAAAACACACACACACACACACAAAAGGAAAAGCAACAAATTATAGGGAGTTCCGTGAAATTTTAAAGTCAAATCAAGCAGCCAAAGATATGTAAAAGAGATTTGAAATCATCAAAGCATAAATACATGAATCTTCTAATTCAATGGCAACATAAAAGCCTCCAAGCCTGATAGGCTGTGGTAATCCTTGAAGGTCAAAAAACAAAAAAAGACGAACGCTGCAAAACACAAACAAATTACAAAGCAACCAGACTCAAGCCAAAAGCCCCGAAAAGGATGCATGCATGCAAACTGCAAAGTACCATGAATGAGCAGAAGGTTCTTTTGCATCCCCCATGGCTTTTTTAAGGTGATCAAACTTAACCAGGGAGACCTGATAAGCCAAAAGAGAAGCCGACGAATGACAAAGAAAGAGAGAAAATGACAATGAAAAGATGAAAAATGAAGTTAAGGGTTGGCAATGGCATTATTCTCTGAGGCAGATCACCTGATTTTTGTGCCTAAAAGTAGGCTTTATTTCATTTCTTCCTTGTTAATCATTCACTTTTTTTAGCAGAAATCTATAAAAAAAATTGAAAAAGAGAATATTTTGATCCTATGTTTAGCATATCTTAAGGAATGTTGAAGGCTTATAAGAAGCATTGCAAGAACAGCGGCTGTTACAGCCTTGTCTCCCCTTCATTTTTGGGTCTTTGACACGTGGAACAAACTGCCATTTTTTTTTTGTGCTTCCACTTTCTGTTGCAAATTCTTATCATTTTTTTGCTGATACTTCAATCAACAAAACCCTTCTGGTCTACAATATAATCTTCACACGTTGAGAAAACAGGAGAACTTGTCACTTTATGTGAAGATTCAAACCAGATGAACCGGATTTTGATAATTTTTTTTTAAATTTTCCCACAAGAATTGCATTGCCAAAAGCTTTCCTTCCAGGTTTGCCCAAAAATTCCGCAATTATTCGGCTAAGTTTTATTATTCCAGCCTAAGTTTTATTATTGGTCACCATTTTAATCAAATTTCTTCTATTTTCTTTTCCTTCCATTTCTTCCCCAGCCTCTTTTTCTTGCTTGCTTCCTTACATATACAAAAAGGAAATTCGATTGATGAACTTAGAGCATGTCGCTAAAATCGGTTCAGTTTCCATGGAAACCAAATAGTCCCCAAAGCTATGGAAAAGAAAACATGCTAGGAAACCAAACATAACTCCAAAAAAGACATGTCAGGTAGAACTTTTGAGTTTGAGAAGTCATTACAAAAAGATGAAACTTAGTGGTAGGTCTTTTCATATGGTAATCTAGAGAGAAAATGAACATGTTCAGATTGACAGTGAATTGCTTGTAACAAAGTAGGTACTTCCAACTCACATAGTATCAGAATTTACAAGCATATGTAAAACTTCTGGATTGAATGGAAAAATGCTTGTTTTGAGCTGCTCAGGTACGTGTACAAGGGAGTTGATAAGTTCAGGGCCTGGATGGCATGATGGGAGGGACTAAAATTGTGTAGCGAGTGTGGTTTTATAATCAAACCCTTTAAAAATCATAAAATGGTATTTACAATGCGGTGAAATTCCTCTCACCATGCATCCAAATCCAAATGAAGCCTAAGTTATCAAACAAGCAGACATGCATGTCTTACTTAAGTCATCCAGCACTTCTTAGGCTTAGTGTCATGGGCTATGCTTTCTTTTAATAAAGCAATAAACCGTGCGGTATTTGAATGGAGGTTTCCATATAAGTCAGCCAAGGATAATTCGACATCTAAACAAGCAACTAACAAACCACAAATCAATCTCAAGCATACACAATGATATATCAAAGCAAAATGGGAGCACACCAAGGCGATCCACCCTGCATTCCCATATAAAAAAATATTTTATTAATATCAAGAATAGTACATCGAGTTTTTTCACCATCGTCAGGGCCAAAAGAGCAGCCCTAGATGGGTGATCCAGCACAACCTTAACCGGTGAGGTAACCTAACACTACGCCGACTGCTCATCTCCTCTAAAAAGCAAATGAGATTCTACAGCTATACTACCAAAAACTATTACAATGTTCGAAATAGGGATACTTTTTCTTACCACATGAGATCTACCCCCCTCTTGATACCTCTACCTGGTCATGACCCTATACATAGGTGGCTCATGACAACCTATGCTTGGTCAATGCCCTATACAAGGTTGGCTCATGACATCCTCCCCCACTTGTTCTATTGACGTCCTTATCGACTTGTTGGCCTGAAATTCTTCAATCTTCTGCTTGAATGCTCGAAGGTTATGATCTCCCTTTCAGCTAGTTTTTTCTAGTCTTAAGCCATTCCATTTCACTAAGTATTCATGAACTCTTTTTTGAGATACTGTGGATACCTTATTAGTTAAAATTTTTTTGACTCGACTTTTTGATGGTGGCTTCATGGAAATGGCTGTCCTGGTTGATTCACCTCGACTTTCATCTGTGGGATCTGTATAGAAAGGCTTTAAGTTGCTCACATGGAACATTAGATGCACCTTCATCTATGGTGACAGGTCAATTTTGTAAGAGACATTCCCCATTTTGGAAAAGATCTTCACTGGACCCTCATATTTATGCACCAACCTACGATTTCGCTTTCTTAGAAACTTAGTCTGTTCGGACACTAGTCTGATAAGAACAAGATCACCAACCTTGAATTATTGTACCTTTCGACCTTTATCTGTACACTTTTTCACGTGCTTTGATGCTTTCTCCAAGTATGCTTGTTCAATTTTTGTATTTTGTCTCCATTTTTGCTAAGGTTGAATGCTCGTAGATTTTTTGCTCCATATGGCTCAATGAATGTATGTAGTAGTCTTGGTAGTTGTCTTATGATCACTTCAAACAAACTCTTATTTGTGGAAGAACACTTGTAAAAATTAAAACAAAGCTGAGCTACATCGACAATGAAGGCCAATTTTTATGATTAACTTAAATAAAGTATCTTAAGTACTCCTTCAACCCATTAAATCGTTTGATTTAACCATCAATTTGTGAGTGATAACTTAAAGAGATGTTGAGTTGAAATTCCAAGATCTTGAAAAATTCTCTCCAGAATAACCTAATGAATCTTGGATCCCTATCACTAATAATGTTTTGAGGAAGGTCCTAATACTTGATTACATGTTTAAACATCAGTCGGGCCGTGTCTTTCGTAAGACAATACTTTTGGATGAGAATGAACGTGGCATATTTTGAGAAATGATTAATCACCATCAAAATAGACTCAAGATCGTTAACTTTAAGAAGATCCGATATAAAGTCAAGAGAGATACTTTTTTAAGATCTAATGGGCACAGGTAGTGGTTCAAGCATGCTTGCTAGTTTCTTCTTTTCAATTTTATCCTATTGGCAAATAAAGCAAGTCTTAATATAGTCCATCACATCTTATATATAAGGCTAATAATAGCCTTGTTTTAGTATAACCAAAGTATGTTGCCAACCAAGGTGAACTGCTCATGGTGTGTTATGACAGTCCCTCATTAGCATTTATCTTAGACCTCCTATTTTTGCACAAACAACTGATGACCCTTTGTCAATAAGATTTCATTTTTTTGTCAAAAGTATTTAAACTTTCTTTCTTCCACTAGCTTCAATATGGCATTGGCCTGTAGGTCTTTTCTCATATTATCTTTAATTTGCTTACGGATATGACTTTACTAGTTACCATTTGGGTCATTCTCTTAAGGGCAGCCAACTCGGTTCCTCTACTCAATGCATCTATCACTTGATTGATTCTTCTAGCTATGTGCTCGAAACAAAATTCAAATTCAACTAAAAATTCTTTTCATCTAGCTTGCTTAGCTGTGAGTTTTGACTAGGTGAAAAAATGAGTAACCGTCGCATTGTTCATCTTCACGATGAATTATGAACCCAGTAAATAGTGCCGTCATGCTTTTAGACAATGAATTACTGCCAGAAGTTCTTTCTCTTAAGTCGTATATCTCATTTTAGCTTCGTTCAACTTTCAACTTTCAAAGGCTATTAGGTGTCATTTTTGTAGAAGTACTCTCTCAATAACGAAATCAGATGCATCCGTTTAAACTTTAAAAGGCTTTCCAATATTGGGAAGAGCCAAGATAGGGTCCTTCATCATAGCTTCCTTCAATCCCTCAAAAGCCTCTTGACATTCACTTGTCCAACACTATTTATGCTCTTTTTTTAATAGCTCTGTAAGGGCTATGATTCTACAAAAGTACCCTTCCACAAATCTCTTATAATAATTGGTCAATCCCAAAAATGATCGAAGTTCATTGACATTCTTTGGTGTTTCCCAATCATTGATAGCCTTAACTTTTTTTATGTCCATTCAAATATGGCCTTGTTCAACAATGTGGCCTAAGAAGTGGATTCGTGTTTGGGTAAATGCACATTTCTCTCTTTTAACATATAGCTGGTGTTCTTATAGTTTTTTAAACACGAGACGCAGATGCTCTTGGTGCTCTTTCAGGGTAGAACTATATACCACTATGTCATCTAAATAAATGATCACAAACTTGTCAAGGTAATCATAGAACACCTGATTCATCAAGGTATAAAACATGACAGAAGCATTAATCAATCCAAAAAGCATAACAAAAAATTCAAATGCATCATACGGCATTGCACAAATGGTCTTTGGCTCATCTCTTTCAATAATTTTGACTTAATGATAGCCAAATCTCAAGTCCAATTTAGAGAAATACTTGGCCTGGCTTAGTTAATCAAATAAATCCACAATAAGTGGAATGGGATATTTGTTTCTTATAGTGACTTTGTTCAGGGCTTTATAGTCCACACACAATCGTAAACTCCTATCATGCTTTCACTAAAATAGCACGGGTGTTCCGAATGATACTTTCAATGGTCTAATGAACCCAGCTTGTAAAAGCTCATCTAATTATTTTTTCAATTCAGCCAACTCTAGCGGAACTATGTGATATGAGGCTTTAGCTAGTGGCTTGACTCTCAAAAGAAGCTCAATCTCATAGTTCATCGATCTTCGAAGAGGTAAGATCTTAGGTAATTGTTCTAGCATCACACTCTCAAACTCTTCTAATACATTTTTCACTTTATCAGGTACTGGTTCCAACTCAATTCCCTCTTTGTAAATTGGCATGACCCCATAGGAGGGCTCCTCTTTTTTTACATTTTCTTGAATTATAAGGCTGAAATCATTTTTTCCACTCTTAGGAAGGATTGTGGCTGGCACAACATATAGGCATTTTCCCAAGAACAATATACAATTAGCAGCGGGAATTGGGATCGCCTAAGCTAACATCATGAAGTTCAATCCTATGACAACATCAAAGTCATCCATAAAGGAAACTGTGAAATCTACATTTCCTTCCCATGGCCTCAACTTGGTCATCACACTTTCAAAACTTCCACTGATCGTAAAGGCTA